TTGAATAGGCTTCGATAACTAGATGTGCCGATCCTCAATTGCCTCGACATCTCATTCTTGAAGTACTTCTCCATTTTTGTGCAAAAAAAAAACTTCAAATCACCTCTAGACGGCGCATCCTTTCTTGCCTTCTTGTGGAGAACCTAATACAAAGTTAGATTTGAATTAAACATGGCACCTGGAGCAGAAAACCTTGAGAGGAATATATCCCAGTTAACAGGGGAGATTATCGTACCCCATAGACTGGTGCATCAACCCGTGATTTTATAGTACATGCACTACAGACAGTTTCATGTACTTTAAAAGTCTGCATCGATCATCCGAAGACAGTACACTGCGTTTGTATGGTAATGCATTCCACCTCCTTAAAATGACCTCCACATTTCATTCGGCTTTTGGTCTTTACTAAGCCAACGGAATGGGGCCAAGGTCGTCAAACCAACCTGCGGTCTTCAATATCCTATCCGTTGAAGGTGTGCCCCAACCTGGATCGGCTTGTGCATTTATCTCAACTATGGAGGGGGGGGGGAGAAACTAGCCCTCCTTTAGAATGAGGCCTAATAAGTAAAACTAAAGAGTGTTTTGTCCAAGTCTTTTGATGACCTATCGGCACGCATTCTGTGTCGACAGCTTCTGTGAAATTTGGCCTCGGCAACTAATCCCACTGAGGTCAAAATCACCATTTACATGGATTAAGGTCCACTTGATGCTAATGCCACAACAAAATCATCCTATGCCTCGACAACCGTTGCATAAAACGGCGGGATGCCACTTTGAAAGCTAAATTGAGGAGAACTAATAACGTTCTGCTACAGAATCATCCTTTTTAAAATACCCGGTGGTAAACGGATCATTTTAACTGCCCCGACATCTACGACAGGGCCCTGGTTATATGCGGCTGACGCGGAGTGTCATCTTGTCAAGTAACACCTCCGTAAGACGAGTAATTCATCCTAAAAAAGTTCTTTTTTGACCCTTGAAAATGTATGTTGGATCGGTGGGGGGGGGGTTTTTGAACAAAAAATATAGTTTATAAAAACGCTTTAAATATTAAGAGGTATATTGACAAAATTCGCAAAAAATGCAAAAAAAATTGAAGATGAAATTATAAACCATAGTTTGGCATAGCTAAAAACGATTCATTAAGAGCGAACAACTTTTGGCAGTCTACTTAAATTTTATCAGTAGAATGGCGATCTGTAAGTACTTTTCATATCATATATACGAAAGCATATTCTA